AGGGGGGGGGTAAACATCTACAAAATTACATATAACTCTCCAACTTCATCAGTCACACTTTGATCTACTCTCCTCATCTGCGTCACGGGCTCTCCGTTAGCTCAGTTGATATCATGCTGGACTACGGAGCTGATGACCCAGGTTCAAATCCCTTGACCTCAGGTCGTTTTGTAGAGTTTTCAAGGCTTTCAGCCCATTTGGCGCGGTCTTATCAGAGACGGACGTTAAATTAGGAGGTCCCGCCGCTTAAATAAACTAATAGTGATGATCTCTTACTTGTCCGTCCTCTTGTACCTCTAGGGCGTCGAGGGGTAGTGTTGATAGCAGCGTGCAGCTTTAAACTCATACACTTACTCAGTTATTACTTATCTGCGTCATTTCTCTGTGGAGACTTCCGAGACTCGTCAGTTATTCCACGGACAAGAGTCCCAACCTCATATCTAGTAACATTCCCAATCAAATTCAATCGAACTGAGTCGAGGCCAGCCATATTTTCTCGCGAGAAGGGACAGACGCTACCATTTCGGCCAAGTACAACTGATTCGACCCGCGACCTTGAGAAATAACGCGTTTGATTTTGAAGGCCATAGTCGAATTTAGTTGAATTCGGTACTATTGAGCCACATTAGTAGCTTTTGTCTAATCAGCCATGAAGGAAAACCTGTCTGGCCCCAACTGAATCAAAATGGATCCTATTGGCTGGCTATAAACGACCAGCTCGCGTGGAATCTCGCATCATTTATACATTACTCTAGATTTTCATTGTCTGTAATTAAAATCTCGGCTTATTGTTCGGTCCATCTGCAAATTGAACTTCTAGCACTATCTCGATCACAGGGTTAACGAGAAGGCGATGGTGTCTTTACTGTGGTAGTCTTTAGTGTGGTAGAACTAGGTGGAAAGTGCTCGCTTTGTTATTCGTGTTAACGGCTTTCATATAAATTGCTCATCATAGTTTCAACAAAAGCAGTCACGTCGACAGAACTTTTTTCGAATTCGCGTCTAGATTGGAGGCATTTCGACGAGAACTTTCGTTGCGGTACTTGTGATTCTTCAGTGTGGTATTTGAACCGGAATTACGCTTAGGCTTACGTTATTGATTCATCAGTGTGGTATTAGAATTTGAATTGTGCTTTTTTGGTGCGATGAGAACGCTCGTCATATTTGGAGTTGTAACGTAACAATTTATTACCAATGTGGCATTTAAACCTGCTACGGGGCTCTTGTGATCTAGAGGTTACGGTTATCACCTCTCATTCAATAGGTCCGGGATTTGAAACCTGATAGTGACGGAATATTTTGTTCTCTAAAATGCTCTCCTTTCACCTCCTTTCCTGGTCTCTAACCATTTCTGTCGTCTCCACTTTTTAACCCTCCCCCTTTTTGCCCCCTTCTCTGAGATCCTGACTCTGTCTGGAGTCTTTCTACTGCCACTCATTGGCTCCTTCTTACTGCTGTCTTTCAGGCACACCCCTTATCTTAAGGTAGGTTAGATCTAACACCTAGCCTTCTCGGAGGTCCCTGTATAGTAGGCTTTGGCAGCCATCCCGGCAAAATTCAAAATTAATTCCTATCAAACTAAAGATGCTTAATGTATCCCTGGCGCTTACATGACCTTATGCTGTTGCGAGCGCCGTAAAACACTTACTAAAACAAAACAAACCTATCATGTTACATTCGAATTCACACTGTTCATATTTGGACGGGAAAAACTAACGTTGAACCCGCTCTAAGACCACCTGTCCAAGACAATCGTCTGCGCAAAAGACCACTTCCCTCCTCCCCCTTGCGTTTTTTTCATACATGAATATTATATAATGAAACTGTTTACTGTTTATGACGACCACCCTTTCTAAGATGATAACTTTTCTTATCGACAACAGGTGGTCGCCTTGAACAAGTTTGACTGTTTATTATCAGATTGCAAGGATGGCAGACGACAATGAAACCAACACTACTTATGCTGAGAGTAAAGGTATGTTAAAAGTCGGTGCTGTCATTTCTTCGAACTGTCTAGTCTGTGCCGTGATCATGTTCAACAATATATTGCTGCTGGTGACTCTTGCACGGACTAGGAAGCTTTGGACGCCGCCCAACGCGTACATCGCCTCTCTCTCAGTGGCTGATTTACTAGTGGGCGTGGTTTTAGTGTTCCGTAACTTCTGGCTCCACCCCTCCACCGAGTGGATCTTTGACGACTACAAGTACGCGTGCTTGTCAGTCATCTGTCTCCTGTACGTGAGTGCGCTGCAGTCCCAGGCGAGCCTCGTTCTCGTGTCGTTGGACCGATACCTCTATATCGTCCACCCGTTCTGGTACCAGCGTAACGTCACGTCACGCGTCACGGCCGGCATCATCGGCTTCACGTGGCTCGTCTCCATCAGCATAGGGTTCTTACCTCTCGAGCTAAACATGTTCTCCTCCGAAACTGGCTGCAACCCCTTGGAGATGATATCGAAGACGTACCTGATGATCTGTTTCAACACCTTCTTCTTCCTGT